TGATAAAAAGTAACAAGATTGGCACTGCAGCCTATATTTTATCTTATTTTCACTTAATGAACTTCACAGTCATCCCCTTTTCTCCTCTTTGCATTTTCTGCTTCTTTTTATATTCGGTAAATTACACTTAACTCCTTCAGTCCTTTATATAATTGTTTATCAACATTATTGCCATGTGGTCGTATTAATGTGACTTACATGAATTCAGAAATGTGAGGAAAAAACGAAGCATCTAAGTTGCGCTGCACAAAGTCACATGCATCACGTAATGTGAGGAAAAAATTCACAAAGTATACAAGTATGCCAAAGTCAGAAAGTCATGTTCATCACTGCGTCACTGCATAAAGTGACATGCATCACTGCATCGCTGCACAAAGTCACATGCATCACTGTATCACTGCACAGTGTCACATGCATCACTGCATCGCTGCACAAAGTCACATAGCATCTGAGGGAAAAACAAAGCATACAAATTATTACGTCTGTTCAAGTCACTGACGAGCATCACTGAGAAATGTTGGACGTATTATTGCGCCGAGCTACAATTTATTATCGTACCATACCTATTGTGCCCATGTGAATTATGCAAAAAATTTTGAGGGGGTGTCAAAACAAAATAACAAAACAATTAGACCCTTTGTGTTTAAAAAGCCACCCTATGCAGCGCCAAATAGATTCATAAACGTTGAAGATAAAAAATTATACAATTAGAATGTATTGAAGATTAATTTGTAGTAGAGTTAGAATAAATGGGTTTTTCGTCATTTCGTAACTTGAAAGTGTTACAAATAAAACCTGGCCTAGTATGCAGATAAGAATAACATCGACTTAAATCAATACATAATTAACTTCAAATTAAATTGGTCAAATTTCTCCAATTAAATTAAATGAAATATGTAAGGTAAAAACTGAAATTAAATATGTTGTCAAGGCAAAATAAATTGAATTATATTTGTAAGCGGAAAAATTAAATTACATTTCCAAGAAGATTTGAACTTTGCTTAAAACCTTCAGATATGCACTGAGTAGTAAATAAAAGTCGAACTGACAACTTCTATCAAGTTGATGCATAGTTGTTCAGGTCATAAAAGTTGACGTGACAACTCTGATGCATAGTTGTTTATTATAATTGCACACAAACAGCTACCATGTGTATATATGGTATAAATATCGCATCATACCACAACAAAAATTTTATAGCTATTTCGAGTGATATCATCATGAGATATACGGTGGTTGATCTATATTCAGCAATGGGTCGCTATTGGATTGCAGATGGAGATGAGTTTCAATACCCATTAAATCCAAATTTGCGTTACTCACATGCCACCGTCAATACCATGAGAGCTGAGTGGGAATTTTTCATAACTCAAGCAAACGTTCTCGTTGAGTTATGTCATGAAGTTAATATTAAATTTCCTCGCCAGTTAGCCATGCGTATGCCAACTGACACTCCACAGTTGTTGCAAAGGGCATTGCATCGTATCCGCGACGAAGTTAATTGCATAACCCAACGTTTGCAAAGGTCCTCACTAATGAAGACCGCAAATGAGCGAGCCGAAGATGGGTTAATGGATGATGCACACCAGTACTTCGCCTGGAGCATGGATGTTATATATGAATCAGATATTGAGATGTCAGATGATGATGATAACGAATGAAATTGTTTGGATGAATGACCAAACCATTTATCTTGTAATGGATTTGTAATGCTTATCCACGACTTATCAATGAAGGGAGATATTCTTCTCAACCTTTTCTGTGAGTGTGTTCTGTGTTTTTTTTTTTTTTTTAATTTTTTTCCCAGTAATTAGGGCTTCGGCTTAAATTAATCATGTAGAAATACAGATATGCTCATTTTCTTATCACTATGTTCTTCATTTGGTATATCAACATGATGCAAAGTCTTCGGATTAAGATGACACAAACATGTTGTTTGTATTAGATATATATAAATGAGTTTTCAACATCTATAACAGCTGGTCCAACCTTTTGTAGGGAAGAAAAGTGTGTCCAAATACACCTGGAAATTGAGGTGGGTTTTGTCTGAAACTCATAACACACACACTGAATTATATTGAAAATTTGTAAAATTTTAAACCGCCAAACCGATTCGCATCCACCTGCCAATCCGTCAATCTGCATCCTCCGGATTGGCTGATGGATGCGGATTGATTTTCTCCAATCCGCCAATCCATTGGACGGATGGCTGATTGGAGGTTCCGTGGCCGCAACCGATCCGCGCCCACCCCTACAACTTGTTAGTTGTCTGGCACGGGAACTGAATGCAATAGTCATGTTTGGCTACACACATATACTATCCTGCACTAGACCCAAGAACACGTACTTTCGGAAAATTATTAGGTACTTTTTGAAATCATTATTTATTATGCCTTTTTATGTTATTCAATCATCTAATACAAAATCATACTTTCCAGATCTCTAAAACCTCATCTCATTGAGTTTGGATCTTCTACTTGACTTCCCTCCTGTGCTCCTTATGAAGGACGATTTAAATTGGGCCAAGTCTCTCGCTCAAAAATGAGCCACTGGAATCTACTCCATTTAAAAAAAAAAAAATTCTAAAACTGAATTGGAGTATCAAAATAGTCAATACAAAAGATTGAACTCAGCATTCAAAAAAAACTAACACCAAAAATCATAACCCAACTAAAAAAAATCAAGAGTTCAAAAGGATTTATGTGAATAAACCCAACAAAAGTAATCATAAATCCATCAAAAATACCAAAATACTCCCATCTAGATCCATTCAACTTTTTTAGGAAAAAAAAGAAGAGGAACAAATCTACAATCAATGGCATTGAAATCTAAAGAGAGGGTCGACCAAAAAATAACTAAAAAAATTCCAAAAAGAGGGAAGTGGAAATAACCAAACACAAATCACAATCCAAAACCATAACACAACAAACATACAATTTTAAACACACATACATATATATATATATATATATATATATATATATATATAACCTGCCCAAAAGTTAAAATGGTAATTATTTTTTACCCTTAAATTATAATGATTTTTTATTTTTTATTTGTTAACCAAATTAATTTTTAATTTTTTTAAAAAAATTATAAAAATCAAACCATACATAGCCTACAAATCTTTTGATAAGTCACTTCTTACGTTGGTAACTTATTTGATTATTTGTTAATTTGAAGACATTCTTACCAAATTTTAAAAATTATCATGAAAACTTGTTTGATAATTATTTTGGTTTATAAATGGTTGTCTCAATTTGTAAATTTCAGGAAAAAATGTAAATTACTATAAATAATGCAGAGACTACGGAGAATCAGAGAGAGATAGAGATGTGAAAGAGATTTGTGTGATTCATCAAAATAAGTAAGAATAAAAAATTGTGAAATTATATTTTCAAATCAGTAAGCATAACACATTTACATCATCTGTACAGGTTTGATTTACAAAAACTATAACAATTACTACAAATAAAAAAAAAAAAAAAAAAACTATACACTCCATATCACACCTGCTAATGCCCTAACCTGCCCCCAGTCCCACAACCCCGACCGTGGACCTCCCTTCTCGGTCTCCTGCAGTAGACTCTCTGAATATCTGGCACTCCCTCCCCTGCATGTGACCCCCCTCTCCTACATGTGTTGGCCCTGATCTTGTCTCTGGCTGAAGATCGGATACTGCTGTGAGCTGTGAAACTCCCTCATCTGGTGCAATTGTATCATGATCTGCAGCTGGACCTCGACCTCTGCCTCTGTCCGCACCCCGACCTCAGCCGAGACGTTCGCCACGACCATAACCTCGGCCTCTACCTCGCGCTCTAGGGGGGCTCAATATGGGCCTCATCCTCAATGTAGGAGATGTCAGTGAGAACTGCATCATGTGTACTCATGGTCACGGTCGAACTAGTCTCCAGAAAAGCAAGTGGTAACTGGGTGGGTGAGGTAACAACGTCATGCATGTATCGGGGCAGTGTCCAATCAAGGTCAGCATGCTAGGTAGGATGTACGTGTGGGGAATCTGGAGAAATGTATGGGGTAACATGCGGTGGGGTGACTGAAGTCCAAGGACCTGCTGTGGCTGGCGCTGACATGGATGGGACTAATGTGTCTGGAGCAGTTGCTGTACTGTGTACACCATAGTGGCCAAAATGCAGACGATCTAGTCGATGGGCATACTGGATCCCCTCGTACAATAACTCTCGGATCTCTTCAAGGGCCTGCATCGCATGCTATCCACCACGTCCGAAAAGGGCGTCCTCAACCAAGTGATATGACCTCCTAGCTTGAGCCACCTGAACAAAAATTCAGATGTATTAGGTTATAGTTGACTGAAAGTAAATCAATTATGATCTTAACAATTATCTGACACATACTATGATACTCACCAATGTCTCGAGAGAAGGCCCAAGTCCCTGATATCCGGACTCAGACAGGTGGCTTGGATTACCGACTAGTAGGTGTGTATGTCGCCGATACCACAACATGTAAGGGTCCGAAGAGGGGAGGACCTCATCGCTCTAGTCAGCCTGTACAATACCGTCGCGACAGGCATCCCACAGCTGTATATATCACATATGAAACAAACTCCAATCAGTGTCGGCTCGGCTACGTCTATCAGTCGCATGCAACCGCCACTCGGTGTCGCACCGATCCGGCACGGACTGGACCCGACCAAACTGTCGGAGGACATGATCAGGGAGATGCCACTCAACCACGTCAAAACAAATGAGTGGCACTCTCCCCATCCATATCTCCTCACCTAGTCGGCAATAGTTTGGGAGTGTACTGAGGACCCCAGCATAAGACTGCCAAATAAACTACAATAACAACAAGTCTATTAAAAATCGCTCATGAACATATACACTCTATATGACAATTAAAATTTAGGTATTTAAATTTCATACCTCGCCCTCTATCATCCGGTCAAGCTGGTCTCTATACACGACAACTACGTGGGTCGATACGACCTCGTGGCCCATGTCAACCCTCCATCTGGTACCTCAAGATCCGGCTGGCAACTGCATGTCTCCCTGGCCGATGGGAACCTCACCAGGAGCAACCACTTGCCGCCTAGACGAGGCAATGCGAATCAATCTCTCCCACACCCAAATCTGCAATAATTTGAACACAATTACAATACTGATATATGCCATACAATATGAATTGACATGTAATAAAATTCTTACTAACCTGTAGCAAGACAAAGGGTCCTCTGATCTCCTTCGCACCCACCTGAGATGCTCGACATAGCATCCTATACAAGCATGCCAAAGCCGCGGCGCCCCAGCTATATTGGTCGATCGCATCAATGCCTCTCAACAATGGCAGGTACATCAGCTTGAGCAGGTTCTGTGACCTATCAGGGAGAAGTACCCCCCCAATAAGCCACAGAATATATGCTCGGGCATGCTGCTATACTAACTCATCTGGAGCTCGATCTGGAAGATGGCCCTGAAACTGCTCGGACAGCCACCTCACCCTCAGTCTACCTGCCTGTAAGTCTGCAGGTGTAGGTGCTACTCCCAATAGCTCAGCACATAGGGCTATCCACTGCTCCCTCGTCAATGATGGGTCAGCTCTAGTAATTGTTTGCCCATCAATCCGGAGACCATATAGGACAGATACGTCCTGCAATGTAACGATGGCCTCCCTGATCGGGAAATGAAATGTATGAGTCTCTGTGCGCCACCTCTCAACGAAAGCAGTGGTGAGTGGATGGTCCAGTCTGATATGGCCTATACGATAGACACCATAGAATCCCGCACGTAGTAGACACTGCAAGACTCTATGGTCCAATGGATGCTCCCACAGGCCGGAATCTCCCCGCCGACATGTCACCACGGTGCGTGCCTCGTCCTGCATAACCGAATGACTAGTTTAAATTATAGCATTATCACGTAATATAAAACAAAATGCAGGGTATTTTCATTATAAGCGTAAAGTCCAACAAACGTTATTGCATACCGGATCCTCTCATAAACTGTCAGCCCGATTTAGATGACTGAATAGTGGGACCTTATCAGGTAGATGTGCCATAAAGCCTGTACAAGTGAAATAGTAGATCATAACAATAAAAGTCTCATTTAATCATAACAGTTATAACGATCTTGGTTTTCCCTTCTTTGTTTAACAGTATTCCGGACTTAGGTTCCGTGGAGTTGGTTGTTGTAGATGTCTTGTTGTCATCCTTCAATTTCATATATTTGAGTTTTAGGATGTATTGGGCGTATTTCAAACAGGTTGGTTGAGCTTTAGTCCCATTCCTTGTTGCCCAGTTTTTTGGTGGTTCGCTCGAGCGGGTCCCTTTGCGCTCGAGCAGAGTTTACACGCTTTCAGCATTTTGTGCCTCTACAAAACTACTGCAGGGTTGTTTTTCACACTCGAGCAGGTCACGCTCGAGCGGTTACCTTGGCGCTCGAGCGGGTGTTCGATGTCTGTAAAAGTACTAGAGGAGTGTAATCTACGCTCGAGCGGCTTTTCTTTTGCGCTCGAGCGGGTGTGTTTTGCAGTTATGTCTTGGTGCTTGAGCAGGCATTTTTGTGCTCTAGCAGGTCCAGTTATTTGTGCTTGACGCTCAAGCGTCCTATTCTCCGCTCGAGCGGACTAGTCGTATATCAGTTGGTAGCTGGGTGATTTTAAATCACTTTTTACATTTCTTTCTCTCTCTTACTTTTCAAAAACCCATTTTTGAGAGCTTCTCTCACTACATTTCACCTTCTGTCTAGGGTTTGATCTAGTTTGAGTGATCTCTCACCTTAGTCCCTTTGTAAAAAGTGTAGAGTTTGTTGAGGGCTTCCTATCAATCCGAAAATTTGTGGATTTGGAGCACTTTGGGTTTTGATCATCTTCTCCATTTGAGCTCTTCATTTTGAGGTAGGGATTCCTACTCATCTTTATGAGCTTTAACCTAAATATTGAGCTTTTTGTATAAATGGTTTGATTTGGGAAGTTAGGGTTTGTAATGTGTTATATTGGAAAGAGGGGTTTTTGCTCTTTTGATTCAAACATATGTGTTTTAGGTCTAAAAAGGAGGTTATTGATGTTGTTGATAATATTTGGACCTTTGGGTCAATATTGAGAAAAATGGGAGAAAATGCCATGTTTGGGTATATTTGGGTCATTAGTGTAATTAATGGCAATTGTTATGGAAATGTGAAATTGAGTTGGAAATAATGAAATTTGCTCATTATGAGATGGAATGGTGGAGTTGGATTTATTAATCGCTCACTTTGAAAATGTTGAAATTATATATCTGTTGAGGCATTTATTATCTGTTTAGAAATAGCTGCTTTGGGCTATTGGTGGAGGGTAGTCTTGATTGTTATAGACAATGCATGATGATTAGGCAAACTAAAACTAATCAACTGAATATGTCATCGGATATGATGGTTGGAATAATACATCAAATTTATGTATTGATTGATTATGTATATGATATGTGTTTATATACATTGCATTGTGTACGAGGAGATAGGTGATGTACTCCACGGTTTAGGGGAAGATAGGGGATGGACTCCTAAACCGGATATTGTTTGGGAGGAGATAGGAGATGGACTCCATCGATACAGCAAATACGTGTATCTATTGAAGTATTGATACAGCAAATCTGTATATCATATACGAAGTACGGAAGTGTTTTGTTTGAGATTGATACAGCAATTATGTGTATCTATTGTGAAGTATGAAGTGTTTAATTTGAGTTGTTATCTCAATTAAAATGGAAGTACTGTTGATATGAGATGTAATCTCATTTAAATTGTTTGGCCAAGTTCTAAGCCATAGTTATGAATTGAGAAATTGGATAAGAAATGGAAAATGAAATGAAACATGGACATAATTGTCATGTAATTGAAATGGGTTGTGAATTGATTTATGTGAGTTAAACATTTATCAAATGCTAATGTTTTAGTTATTGCTCATATTATGTTTAGCATATCTCTACTGGGCGTTGGCTCACCCTATATGGGACATCATTTTCAGGTACAGGTAGCATGCCACCTCCAAGGACGTAGCTTGGGAGGCTTGAGGCTGTTTGACCTTGTTTTGTCGTTCTTTTTGTTGTATTACATGTATATCAAGCCAAGGGCTTATCTTGTGTAGAGTTAGTACTCTCCTTTTTGTAACCAAGTGTTGACTTGGAAAGTTGTAAGCCTATAGGGCATTTACTTTTGTTGTCAACATGTAATACATTTTGTAATGAATACTGTGATGAAATGTAATTATGTTTCATTCTCTTATGTTTAAGCATGTCAAGAATGTATGATTTATGGGTTTATTTTGAGGGCGTTACAGCAAAACTACAATTATTCCATAAATTACGATTTGTAAATGAAAGGTATGCTCAACTATTTACAAATTTATAGTTGTGTGACACCATATATGGAAACAATTCAGTAAAATGTAATTAATTTTTATTTCAAAAAACTGTATTGGTAAGCATGTAATATAACTATAACAATTAAACTTTAATTATTCCATACATGACGACTTGAAAAACAAATGTGATCGATTATTTTGAAATTATCAATTTCTGTGCCACTAACATAGAAGCAATTCACTAAAATCTAAAAGTATCAATTTTTGTGCCATTAAATATGATAAGCAATTCAACAGAACCTACCATTATCTATGCTATAACTAATATAGAAATCTTTTACAAAATAATTTTAGGGTCTCAGTTACATAAGCTTAATAATGAGTATAAACATGTGGATAGTTTTTGTACATAAATATTTGGGAAAAAATTTAATGAGAATTTTTTTTTCAATAAGAGGTTGCTAATTACATTTATGGCATATTTGACAAAACTTCATTATTGATTTTGTAATGGTAAAAGTTCCAATAAAGTATAAAATTTGTAAATTACGTAGATCTGATTCATAAATTGTAAATGTAAAAAATGCTTGCAGCATTCAAAAATATAAAATTTATTCATAAATAATAAATTTTAAAATGGTAGAACAACTATGTGATTTTCACTAAAATTTTGTAATAGACATTTTCAATCAAGTAGAGAATAAAAAACTTAGGCCTATGTGGTATAATTAAATGTTTTTGAATACATATTTTTAGTTTAATTTATTTGTTTAGTATGTTAGTTGTAAATTTTTTCAAGGAAATCAAACAATTACAATATATAAAGAATTAAAAATTAGAAATGATCTATTACAAATAAAAAATGATCTATTTAAATGTACGACCCCGTTTACAAATAAAGAATTAAATGATCTATTACAAATCAAGAATTAAAAAATAATCTATTACAATATGTAAGTATTACATAGTCTTCATCGACCAAGTCACGCCGAACATGTTCGCCTGTCATGACCTGTCTGCTGGCACTCACTGCAACGAGCGGTCAAACGCCTATCTGATATATCCATCTCATTCGGAATACGAGACATAGATGTACGACCCCGTTTTACTTCTCGCAGACGAAGTACATTAGGCATTAAGGTCCACTGCGGATCATCCCAATAATCTTCATGCGGTATTGGATTGAATTTAGTTTCCAAAACCCTCATGTATACAGGAAGCCTATATACTAGATCAACGTACTCGAATGGATTGTCACTGCATTCAGACATTACAGCGAGCATATGAGAACATGGATAGTGTCTTATCTCATATTTCCCACAACTGCAGGTGGGTTGATTTATCCGCACAATCTGTGTATTGCGACCTCGTCCATGGTGAAAAGATGTTTGCACCTCAAATACGCGACGAGCCCTATCAGACAATATTGATACAAACTAATCAAGTTCATGTTTTTAGGTGTAATTAACTTAACAACATAATAAGAACATTTTAGTTCACATTACAAACTAACCTGTCATACGATATCAACTTGAAAGTATTTTGCCCTTGCGATGCCATCCTCAATAGTTTTTTTCATCTCTCTAGGGTATTGGAACTCATTTCGTACATCTATTTCAGCTTGGGCTCCCATCTCGTCAAAATATTTTACGAGCAGCCGAAATGTAAATTCAACCATAGCTGAGATAGGTAAGTTCCTTGCACCTTTCAAGACGCTATTGAAGCACTCTGCATCATTGCTGGTCAATACCCCCCATCGATATCCACCGTCATACGCAAGGGCCCACTCCACAGGATTCATCTTGTGAACCCAATTGATGGCATCTTGGTTAATAGCCTGTATCTGTTCTAAGTAACCATTACACTTTCGTCGTTGATGAGCACTCCCTGCTTTCCATAGAAGTTGTTTCAGCTCCTTATTTTTGAACCTAGTGTTAAAGTTACTACAAACATGTCGAAGGCAGTGCCGATGATATCCACCAAATTGGAGAAAGGGATTCAGCCAATGCCGCCTCACAGCAGCTAAAATACTCTCAGCTCAATTAGATATCAAAGTCACTCCCTGTCGGTCCATGACAATATGTTCCTTGATATTTGAAATGAAGAACGACCAAGACTCTAAACTCTCCCTATCGACAACAGCGAATGCAAGCGGTAATACTTTGCCATTGGCAGTTACAATCGTTGCTACAAGCAACACACCAGTGTATTTCCCGTATAAGAATGTACCATCTATGGTTATAACAGGCCTACAATATCTGAATCCATCGATGACGGGTTTGAAAGACCAGAAAACAAAGTGGAAGACGGGCATAATGGTTGTACCTCCAGTATATCTATGCTTCCATTACACGATGGTGCCAGGATTAGATGTTTGTAATGCGTTCATGAATTTAGGCAACAGCCTATATGATTCATCCCAATCCCCGAATACCATTCTAATTGTCTTTGCAAGTGCATGTCACGCCTTCTTGTATGATATACTATAGTTCATGGTCTTTTTGATATCTTCGATGACATTCTCAATTGGCATATCAGGTTCATTCTGCATACGACAATACCTATGAGTCAGATTATTTTGGTGTGCACACTATAAACAAACAAATATGTATATATATGTGAACATTTATTTTGTATACTCACCACAACTTGTCCCAAAAGATGAGAAGCAATGTAACTTGAGCTAATATTAGTGTGGTCCCTGTTCATTCGTGGGTATAAACAATGGTGAGGACCCCTATACTGCTTTATTTCAAAAAGACCATGTTTCTTACTAAGAGATGCACGTAACCACCAGCTGCAATCGTGCTTGCAAGCACACACCCAAACGTCTTGCTTGGAGGTTACGACTTTATATTCTCGATTATTTGTTGCATGGTACAATTTCACAGCATGTACGAGTTGCTTCTTATCAACGAAAACCATCCCTTTGCCCAACTCTGGATTTTCAGCGTTCCAGATTCGGTTACGGGGAACGACATCGCGGTTACTAATGTCAAAATCACCACCCATGTGGACGTTTTCATAGAAAGGGATTTCAGGTCTAGGTGGAATGGGGGCATTGTCAAGGTCAATGGGAGCGTCGGCATCATCTTCTTCATCATCATCATCTAATCCGCCCAATAAATTTTCTTCATCACACGTTTCATTCTCATCATTGTCTAGGGCGACATCAGGACCGTACATGTCACTGTCAGCAAACTACACATAATTCACCATTTCAGCCATATTACCAGCAACTTCAACTAGAGTGGTATGATGGCTGTAGGTGGGCACATCTTCTGTGTTATTGTGAAATTCAGTCTCATATCCACCACGTGAACTAGATTCTACACCATGGCCCTGAAATGTCTGTTGTGTGTAGCCCACTGCATAACATTCATTTGATTCATACATAGGAGACTGAAACGCTGTCGTGTCAGTCCCATGTATTAGCAATGTAGTGAACGGATTTGAACTTTCCATCTGTGTCATATTAGGGACATTGTGTACAACCTCTTTATCAATGTACACTTCCAAACAATTTGGTGGTTGGAAACTTCCACCGATACTTAATACGGTGTTCAACGCCTCATCGTCATTGATCGGTAATATTTTGTATTTGCTGGTTGCTTGCCACTGGCGATAAGGATATCTACATTTGAAGATCAACCGGACAGTTTCCCCGTAACTTGCCACCTTGGACATAAACATCTCCTCCAAATTGCTAAGTGTGGTGCCAAGTTGCACCCCATATATCCCTTTTGGCTCAGCATCATATGTCACACCTTCATCAGGATCCCGAATTATGTTTCCCCCCCAGTAGAAGATAATTGGAACAGTTGCCATATACTTGCTTCAACGAAACAATAAACATTAAAATAGTAACAATATACATATATCGAATTTTACTTCTAAAATAATTATATGAATTTTAAATCATTCAATTACAATTACTTGTGAGGCAATAACTTTATTTAAGTAATCAATAATTGTAATCCAACAATCATTATTCATTTTTTAATTAAACTATGAGTTAAAATAAAGCTTCTGTTTTGGATTTTTTAGCTTTTTTAAAAAAAAAAAGCTTACAACACATAAAGAATGTTGGTTTGTTTGGACATAACTATCTATGGAACTGATGTGTTCTGCTTTTTCCATTATTTATTACGATTAACATCATGCTATTGCGCACGGTAAATGTAAATTTTTCTTTTTCCATGTTTTTTCTTCTTTGTTTTGATAACATTTCAGTGTTGCTTTGATTTTTGTAAATTAACTTGGTTTTATTTTTATGTTCGTTATTTGAATTTGTTTAGGCAGACACTTGTGAATTTGTTTATTTGAATTTGAATTTCCATTATTTGGTTTGTTTATTTTCTCATTTTTTTCTCTCATTTTTATTCGTATAAAACAACAGCTGAGATTTCATCTCTACGTAGAGTTTTTATTTACTTCCTATGTGGAGACTCTTATCTTTTCTGCGTGAAGGTTCTTTGTTGTCATTGCTCTCTTGTCTTAATTCAAAAAAAACATCAAAACAACTATACTTCTTGTCTTAATTCTTTGTTTTCATTGGTCTTTTTTTATTCTCATTCTTTTTGAGGTTGGATATGCTTTGGTCATATGATCCTTTCTGGAATTCATACACATGTATAGATGTCCTATACAAAAATGTTTATTGAATTAGTGGCGAAAAATAAATTTTGAATCACATAGCAGCAATAACTTCAGATTTTGAATAAGTCTAAGAATACAAAAATGGTTATAGAACTGTACACAAAATGTATATAGATGGATAAAATTTTTAAAAATAGTAACAAACTCTATAAAATTTTATGCGTATATATGTATTTTTAGTCAATTTTATGATCAATTTTGTTTGTTTATGACAAAACTACAAGATTTTTAGCTAGTGACCCATTTTGATTTACAAGATCTATAAAGAGACAATTCCAAATATTACAGTCATGGCAGGGTTTAGAGGAAGATCAGATTTATGCATGCGTATTATTAAGTATTTAAAGAGGTGTGTTTGGTTTGTGTTCTAGAGTGTTTTTTAGATAAAAAGTATGAAAACTTATTTGGTTTGCCTTCTTTCATAAATGGTTGTGGAAAATTGTTTTGGGGAGAGAGTTTTACAAAAAGTGATTAATTTGATGTGTATGAGAGAGAAAGTTATTTTGGAAAGTAGGTAACCAAACAAAATTATAAAAAATTTATTTGGAAAAATTTGTTTGATTTGATTACTCTTGAAAATTTGTTTGTAGAGAAATTTTTCCAACATTTTATATGAAAAACAAACCAAATAAGCCCATTATTTCTATGATTTGAATCCATAACACTCGAATTATAATAGATTTATTTTATTTTATTTTATATTATTATTAGCATAATAAAACAACCTTACCATTGTGGCAAGGGCCTCCCTCCCTCAATATGATCAATTTTTAAAAGGCATTCACTCAAAATAAATAAATAAATGATAATAATGACTCTGCACAACCGTTACTTTAGGCAATGATTTAATCGTACGCATGTAAGCGAGACCAATTTTAAAAACACTTATTTTGTTTTCTTTTCATAAATCTTGATCTATTTTTTAGTATTTTGATAAAGTAGACAGATATATCACACATTTAAAAAAACACTTCATTCTATCAAATATTTTTCTTATTCAGTGAGACTGGACAAAATTGGACAAGTCATACAAACATCTTAAATCATAGTGTAAGTTTTGTAGATAATTAAATTTTGTTCCATTGAGTTGAAAAAACTCGATTGATTTGGACAATATACAAATAGAGGTTTCAAACATTGTTCTTAATTTTTTAAAACTGGTGATCTAATTCTTCAGATTTATGGACAATTACAGATAAGTTAATTTGATTTGGTCAAACTTGTGCCATTAGGGACCTTAATGACAAAGTTATTTCCTATGTGAAATAGTAACCCTCGTCCACTTTTTAGAGGTCATAGAGGCTTTGTTATGAAATTCAATCAAAAAACTCATTTTGGCTCGTTCTGAAAAGTAAGAAAAAAATTTAATTTATTTACTCTTTTTTTTTCTCTTAAACATACAAAAAAAAAAATAGAGAGAGATAATTTATAATGGCCAAAAATTAGGGAGAAAATTTAAGTTGGTGGTTAAATCTATGTAGTAAATTTTGGATAGTTGTCCATGTGAATCTATCGAGCCATCCATAGCAATTATTTGGTATTATGAAACACAGGCTTACCCATTAAAGTGCCATTTTTTTTTTTTTTTTTTGTCCTTCTTACTTAGGAAATTTCTATGGACAATTAATTAGAATGTTTTAAGACTCTTTTCATGCATATATTATAACTAGTGTATGTCCGTGCCTGAAGGCACGTTGCAATTAATAATGATTTCTAATTATATAAATCAAAATAAAAATTATTAAAACATAATGTTAAGATTTTCCTTTTCAATGGTGGTGGACAGTCACAAAGCGAAAGTGGCGATAAGTCCCTTCGTTCAATACCCATTTCAAAAACTTTTTCAAATTTTCTTAAGTTTTGTGAGGAAATTTTAATTTCTACTATAATGCTATTATATGTATTACAAATTCAGCTATGGTGGCGGACAGTCACAAAGCGGAAGTGGCGATAAACCACTTCGTTTAATACCCATTTGAAAAACTTTTTCTAATTTTCTTAAGTTTTGTGAGGAAATTTTAATTTCTACTATAATGCTATTATATGTATTACAAATTCAGCTCGTTAAATTTTTTAAAATTTCTATGACAAGATTATAAAATTAAATGTTAGTATTTTATGATGAAATTTCTTCAAATTATT